GAGAAGAGGTTCGTCGAGTTCGTCACGACTAGTTCTAACAGTTTATTTTCATAATCGTTATGAGGAAAGGAGAAACGACTACGGTCACAAGTACACATATTCCCACATATATACGTACATGCGTACATGAATACATACACACCCGCACATACATCTACACAAATACACAAGCACAAGCAAAACGAACACCGACGCCAATAATCACATGATATCGTCAGTTATAACGAAGTACAGAGCTACATATGGAATGGATGGGATCCTAGTCGGTTCAAATGTCCACTTCAGTGCTGATCGTCATCATCACCACCACTACCACTACCACCATCGAAACCGAACACTACGAACGAACGATATTTGCGCACGCCTCGCTTCTATTTCAGTCCTGTCGCAAGTCACGCCGTCGTTGTCGGAGGGATAAGAATAGCCGTCACTGAGCACGAATTTAACTGTTCTGTTGTCGCGTGCAACGACGGAGAAGTGTCCATTCTTCACTAAATTTGGTCAACGCTTGACACATATACTACGCATTGAATTCGCGACACGACAACGACCACAATACACAACACTTCGCCATCATCATCACCATAATGGAAGAAAAAATGTGTCATTTGTCATCGAAAAGCTGGAAGTCACGTTGAATGGAGAACAATGGACGTAGAAAGGGAGCACAGAACAGGTGCATAATTATAGCCATAGGAGTTCGTTGGATGTTTCACAGGATGGAATGATTAGGATGCACACATACGATGAGCTGTTACTTTGTTGATTACAAAACGTGTTGCTAATGGAGTGTTAACCGTACCTAATAGATCAGTGTGCGAAATGCTGCCCGACTTGATGACGACGAGGAAATGACTGCGCTAAAAAGTTCATTCGTCAGTGCACCGATCCGAACGTGTCCCCGCCATGAATTACTCCCGAAAATGCACTCCATCGTTGACGACGATGATGACAAAGTACCAACAAGTACATCGCACTTCAGAATGCAACAACGACAGACAACACCGACGACGGTCGATGACACAACGTCAATATTCTACTCCTTCATCTGCTAGTAGTTCATTACCGACCAAGTGAATAACAACAACAAGAACTAATGAGAGGCCAAAAACAAGTGTGTACGTACTCTGATCAGCGCACGACGTGATGCACTCTTGGGACTTACTTCCGCGGAAAAACCATAGTGCAGCCACATGAATCCCAGTGATCCTGAGAAGTCAGTATGTACAAGGGGGTTGGTCATCATCATATCCAGAATATTGTAGTACACAAAATATAATCTGGTGATTGCGGTAGTTTAAAAAACTTCTACATCTGAAAGAAAGACGAAGTGACAGGGCGATCTAAGAAAAAACAGCAACCCGAACGCCCTATTCTGATCACAAAGTGTTACTGTCTTGCCTTGACTGTTGATAAGCACAATGTCAGATTATTGCGGTGTCGGGTCGGACGAGCTTCGAAATCAGAAAAACGTTGTAAGAGTGCGAACTGATTTATGCTTGAAACGAAAGAATACGATGAAGGTGAAGTATATAAAGAACAGTTGCAGCATTTATTGCAGGGTCGTTCCGAATGCTAAATGACCTATGACTGACAGGATTACAAAAAACAGAAAGACAGAGAGGAGTAGAGTGAGAAGGTGAGAAAGGAGAGTGATAGGAAAAATTTCTGATTTGAAAAGAACGAAAAATTTAGTGTTCAGCGTCCAAAGCTAGAAAACACCATTGATTCTAAAGTCGGATTTCCTCTATATAAGTCACAGAAAAACCTCTCATTCATTTTAATCGAATTTTAAAAAGGAGGATTAATAACTAAACCCTTGTCGAAACCAAGGTAGGTATGGTGAAAAAAAAACTAAGCAACAACACAACGCTTTTATATTGACCTGAATTCCATTGAGAAGAACCTGCAGATATAAAGTTGACCTAATGGAAATAATTTTATTCAGTTCACCTCATTTTCACATACTTCACAAAGATTGGAGAAATTCCGATAAGACCAACCACCATTATTCTGTATCTATTTTACGAGCAAAGTAATTAACCAGAAAACAGGCTAAGAGAAAGGCAAAGCAAGGGCCTCAGAGGTGCAGCGAGTAACGCGCGATCCTCCGTAAAGGGTAATCGCGAGTTCGAATCTGGACTTGGGTCCAAGTTGTTTTGCAAATATCTGAGCACCATAGTGGTTGTACTTCACATAACGCCATGCCGAAAAAATAATAGTAGGCAGTAACTTGAAAGTAAACATCGCAACTAGCTGTGTTCCTGGTGTTTGAAGAGTAGAGTGGAGAGGGTGGCGGAGGTATGATGGAAATTGGAAGGGGGGGAGGTGGTGTTGTGGGGGTTAGAGCGGCGGCGGCGGAGGCCATCAAGAATGAAGCAGCTCCGAACTGGCTGCTTCTTGAAACTGGTCGCCATCATGTCGGATCGTTGTGCGATTGCGCTACGAGCCAAAAAACAAATCGCCTATGCTTCGACGTCGTCGTGCTCGACGATTGTGCCGCTCCCTTAAAGGGATCCAAGAAACAAGAGGCACAAGTCGACTTGAATTTAGTTAAGGGCAAAAGGAATAAATACAGCGTCCGACGTTGATCAATCCTTGCAGCGAACCCTGTGGCAAGCAACCGGATGGTTATTGGTGATCGAATGCCTGTCTAGCCTATACAATGACTACCACACCGAGGAGTTGCACACAAGTATCAAGCAGGTGCTGCTACTCTCCCAGAGAAGTCTACGAACAATCTGCCTATGTCGGCGGAATGGATGGCATAGTGAGTCCCGAGTTGCGAGATAGAACCAAGGACCACGTGAATAGCAGAGCCCCTCTAGCCACTGCGTCCCATGCGCAACCCAATTAGGTTATCAAAAATAATCGAGAGGATATTCAGTTATTATTTATATTTATATTTCGTACACGAAAGACTGCTGCACTCTATTAGACGGTTGTTTATTCTTCCGAAAAAAAAAACTAATTCCCATCGTCCATGTTCCGGAACTTATAAGTACAATGTAAAACACAACACTACACAGTATCACCATGAATATTTCCTCTGAAGATGAAGATTTCTCACTCCACGAAAGAAATTCGGCGATTTGAAAACGCAAGAACAGTGTACAAAGGGCATTCGTACGTTCAACAAAGAGCGTTCAACACATTTGCGACGAAGCTGGTTTTTCGATAATTGATGATAATTCCTCGATTACTAAAGTATATCAGAAGTTCAGAACTTCATAGATTTATAGATGAGACTTTACTCCATCGCATTAATGAGATAAATAAATTTTGCACAATGTCCTTCTAAATTCAAATCTGTTCGGGACCAAAAAGGACCAAAAATTTCAAAAACTGAACTGAAAATTTAATCTGAAGTATCAAAAGCGATTGGAATTTAAGGCAGACTTTCGTGAAGCTGACCGCGGGTCCTCAGAGAATCACAATGGCTAAACCAGCAAAACACCGAAAAGTGGAAAATATGCGGGGTGCTCACACAACCAGTGAGAACGGGCCGTCGAAGTAACCAAGTAAGTAAGTATGAAAATTTCCAATACAACAGCGGCAATTGCAATTATAAATAATATATTGCAAAACATTATAAACATTATGTTGTCCTGTTGGACGAAACCCCGCCTGTTCAATTGCTTTCGTGCTCAAAATAAGGGGTCGCTAACCAAAAAGTGAAAGAAAACATATATAGGCTCTAGAAAATCTGAATTTCACTTTGATAGTGATAAAACAACTGACATCGTGTAGGGAAAATCTGCAGATTTCAACTGGGTTCGTTGGACCTAGTAAAATTCGTTGTCGGTTGAGTTTCATTAGTTCGAAGATGAAAGCAACCACTGTTATCGCACCGTATTACTCCTGTAAGGGTCACACAGTCGCGTAAGGACGAAGAAGTTCCACACCAAAACTGGCAGACAATGAGCACGACCTGCTTATTTCTCGTTAGGATCGACGTAAAAAACCGAAAAAAGAAGTGGAAGGAACCAGTTTTCTTCGATTTAGGATCGAATGAATCGCAACAAATTCGCAAGCAGTACTTGATTACTTTAGGAACACTTCGCGATCGAGACGTAGAACAAATATTGACGAAGCGACGATCTGTAAACGGTGTAGTACATATGATCGACGACACCACTACTATCGATTACGGCAGAACCACTACTAAAGAGCTATTCAGTTCTGCTTTCGTCGTTATTCATTGTGTTCACACGCACACATGCACGCCACCGCCGCGCGACAACACCATCGACGCGACGTCGCACGCGGAAGTTATGATTGCACGACGGACGAGTACGTCTGCTGTTAGTCGTGAACTGAACGAGTTTTGGGTTGTAATTCCCAAAAAAAAATTCCAAACTTAAGCCGTTCATCGAAAAGGAAAATCATTAAGTAGGCCATCCAAAACACAAACATGAAATAAAATATTAATATTTATATTAATAATAAAAAAATATTTTTCGCTAGCTTTCAGTTGTTGTACAGATTTCTACGGTTTCATAACAAGAAATTTTTTTAAACTCCAAAAAAATCGTTACTATTTGGTATCCATTTAGTTGACCACAGTAGCTTACAGTATCGTACATTCACAACTTTTCTAAGACCTAAGTAATTTAGAAAACTAAATGATAAACAAATCTATTTCCATAAAATATTTTGCGATTTATTCTCATTGAAAGCTCTAGAGCTCCTAGAGCTCTTTATCTAGTTTTTCTTTAAACTTTTTAGCAAATCCTTACAGTTAAGGAGAACTTAGGGCACTCACAATGGAATCAGAGGAGATCGAAATAGAAACGTAAGGCGTGATAAAATATGAACTTCCAATGTAAACTGCTCTAGTGGATGAAAAACCGAAGATGAAACCGAGTGAGAGGAGGGATTATAGTGGGCCACACCAACACCCACACACCAAAAAAACATATACGAATATATGCATCTACACATCTGTACACACTAATATACACATATACGCAGAGTACAAACACATCCAGACGGATTATTCAAATGGAATTCGAAATCGAAGAGATACGATTCGCATATCGAAGAGCGGACACAACGAAAACCAGACATCGTACGCGCGTGCTCGCGATGAACTTGCCGTCCGCTGCGACGGCAGAGAGGGCGGTGGCGGCAACGGTGGCGGATGTCTGCCGTCCGAGTCCACTCCGATCTCGTCCACCCAAAGCCACAATAACAAGTGCCTGACAGAATGAACGAATTACGGCGACCCTCGGGGAATTCATCATCACGACACGGCGGACCATTGGTCCACCCGTATCGACTGCAATGATGACACAGCATCAAAGCATCTACATTAGTCCTATACACTTTCACAGTGGAAGAAGCCGTGGTGAAAAATCGTCGAACAGTGCAATTATTTCAAAAAAAAAAGCACTTGATTTCCCTTCTATAGGTATAGAGAAGGTAAAGTGAATGCATTTCCATACTATCATTCGCTTTTCTAACTATTAACAAAAGTTTTTTTAGACCAAAAACCATTAGAGAACAGACTTTTGTTAATATGAATGCCAAGAATTCCTTTGAATTACAGGGAAAACCTGGAGAATAGAACGATGAGACCTGAACGGTTTCGGTGCAACTCTACATATATTTTCGTATTGATAAACGGCAAGCAATGACGCTATATAGCACGAAAGACGACGAATTCTTACACAAACTAACCGGCAACGAATTGAAAGGAGAGGTGTGAGAGCCAGCCAATACATTGTCGACATCGAGAGAGGTGTGGGGGTGTGTCGGAATACGGACTGAAGAGGAGACAGAGCATAGCGCTATTCAAAACATGGAAAAGTATCCTCAGACGAATTTCAAACCATCCACAAACATCGAACGTCGACAAACAAACACCGTTGAAGAAAAGCCGCCGAAAGTGTTTTGGTGAGGAACGCGGTGTCGAAACGAGTACAAATTTGGAATGATACAACGATAGAAGTATGGATGATATCAGCAAAAACTGTTCGATGAGTACAAGTAGTTATGAGGAAGGAAGATAGGCAAAAAGATTGTGAGCAGTGGTCAAATAGAGTTTCCGGAATGAGATGGTCAGATGAGTGTCAGTTTATTTGAGAAAATCGTTTTAGCGGCAACATATTGCTAATAAAGGAGGACATCAAGAATGCCCTTTACGACAAACGTGGTTATCTGGTGCCTCTCTGAGCCAGATCTTGTGCACTTTCCTTGATCCCTTAAACGTTATTTACTGCTCAAGCTCAGCAGGAATGACGACGCAATTATCACCTACGGAAGAAATTCGACCAAACGCTTCATTAAACTGATTTTTAAATGAATAAAGATGTTCTCTGAAATGAAGCGAATGACAGTTATGCAAAACGAAACCAGACAAAGGCATGACAACGAGAAGGATCCACGAAAAAACAAATTCAGCTGTGACAAGAGGAATGACCGATAATTGTTGAAATTTCTTGAAGAAAAGTAAACGATAAAATCTTACTTTGATCCGAACCTTTCTTAGAAAAGTGGTCACATCTGAACGAATATGTCTTTGTTAAGAAGACCCCGACTGAAACAAAACTGAAAGGATTTTGTGCACAAGACTGATGACATGGATCCAGAATACACCCGCTGTCCTTTGATGACAACGAATCCATGCATACAAAAAAGCTGAAATGAATCTGTGAAAACTTTACCTAAGACAATTTTTGGGGCAATTATAAAAATGACGGCATAGATAAACGCTAATGAGAAACACTTAAGGGATACTGTACTGCGAACGGTGACTTATATGATGCAAGATCTCGTATAAGTGAGGGAATGGTGAAAAGTGAAAGCGATACTGAAAACGGTAGCGATTCAGTACGTCGCGTTGGAGCCGGATTCGCTCGTCGCAAAGCCGAGTGAGACGTCGCGCTCGGCGAAACCAGTCACAACCAGACAAGACGACAACGACGATGACCACCATCGCGTTTCAGGACCAACAGATCGACCGATCGACCGTGCCACCAAAATAGAACATATCCAATCGCTTAAATTCCACAGCGTTTGTAATGTGATGCTAGACATCAAGTCTTCTTAGATAGCGACCAGTGTGGTAAGGCAAGAAGACCATATCAAACTTGGCGAATAATCCGAGTGCGGCCAGCATGGGCGGAACTCAAGGATTAGCTCATCCTTTTTCCACATATAGCGAACCACTATTAAACAATCGAAAGCAAAAAAAGGTGAAGAAAACCGATGATGGGGTATTTCCCTAGTAAACGAGACCTGACCTTAGCACAGGATTCTTGCTCTCTCCTACTACTCGTAATGTCAAAGTTTTTCGTCTGGACAACATGAGTTAAAACAATTAAAAAATAACATAAAACTACACTTTGTAAAATAAAACAGAAATTTTGAATCGATCAATGTCGGCATAAATCCGAGAAGTTGACTTTACTCGATAACGACCCAGGACCAAAACACTCAACTAAAAAACAAGCGATGTCTTTCTAAGAAACACCACAAATGTTCTCCAAAAGTTCGTAAGACCACTTGAAAACAAAGAAAAGAAGACGCAAAAAACCTAGCGTTCGTAAATGGACGCTACAAAATTGATTGAAAATTTAGCCCAGGGATTTCCGATTATGACAGAAGAAAAAGCGAATATTCATTAGCGGTAACGAAGAAATTTTCATCTGTTTAGGTTCAGACATAGAAAACTGAGCTTAAGGAGATAAGAACAAACCGTGAATAAACAAACATAGATCAAAAGTATCCAATATAATAACAATAGCATCTTTAAACGGAGTCCGGATTAAAGGGCAGTGTCGTGGACACGACGCGAGATGGCGGCCGGTGGCGGTTGACCTCTGGCCGCACCGAGTGGTACGCCCTTGCAACCGGACGACGGCCGGCCGGCCGGCCGTTCGGTCGGTCGGTCGGTCGGTCGGTCGGTTGTACCCATCACCTCCCCCTCCTCTGCCTCCATGCTAACCAGTAAACCATTATTGTGACCATAGCATTGCTGTTGATGTGGTTCAGATAGGTAACAGAAAAACCTCTGACATAGATGTACGCTGGACTTTTTGGCAAGATTAGGTGAATTCAACCTAAAAAAAACCTAGAAGATGTGAGGCTCAAGGAGTTCCTGGAACAATGAGAACGTACTGCGCTACCCTAGCATGCGATAAGAAGAAATGGAAGATTTGCCGGCATCCGCTCGAGTCACTTGACGACCAACAGGACGACATATGATACACGTGATATTAGGTGACTTTTTGACTTTAACGTTAAGTAATTTGGGTACTAGGATAGACTTACTGTAGAGACGATGGGTGAACCTAGGATAATGACCGTATTGTTAATTTCAACACTTTTCAGATTTAACGATAGCTTTGAGAAGGAGAAGATATTCAACTGAAAACAGAAGAAGAGGGATGTTTCTCGAAAAACTTCTTGAATGTCACAATTGGACGAAATTGAAACCTTTTGATAGGAATAAGCTCAGAGTCAGGGGGAAACTACATATGATAGCCTAGCACGAGGTGCTGAAGAAAAGAAACGGAATAATGATCGGGCAAAGAACACTTACTGCTGGCCATATGACAATAGGACACGATCGCTTGATTGACTCACAAATCAGCTGATAATCAGGTGACGTAAAAGTAGCGAACACGGGGTCAAGAGCACCGAAGGAAGTGATAAGCGAGTGAACTGGGTGTCTAAGAAAAGTGAAGAAGAACCTCGAGTATGCGAATCTTGGTTATCGACGTTAATATCCATGAACGTTGTCGTTCGGTAGAACTTCGGATCCAACTGTCATAATCATGTACGCTTTCTCAATCGGACATCGAAATCAAGACTAGACAGCTGGAATCAACAATGCTATGAATCCACAATTCTAATGACATAAGGTGTCAGACAACGCGTGCAGCCTAGGAAGGCCATCTAAGGTCGGCCGCTTGAGGTCAACCAACACATACAGAGAGACACGGACGCACATAAACACACATCTGCACTTACCCGGATCACTCCGCCTTACGAAAAAGAAGAGCACCAGAAACTACCGCCTGTCGCTATTTCATCGTTTTCACAGACAGTAACTGTACAACATCATTATCACCACCACCACTACTACAGCCACATAGTGGCACTTTGCGAAATAAGCAGCACCGTTTAAAGAGTGACTGACAATGCTGCCAGGTGATGGTCGAAACCAGTCATAAAACATCCGAAACCATAAAAACACAAATAAAACTTGAAATGATTCAAATTTTTGCGGTGTAGCACTGATCCAGAATCGTAGGACTAACGGGATAGTGGTAGGATTTTTTTCGAATACGTAACTAGGAATCATTTGTTGTCTTGGAATATCCTGAGGTTTTATTGTACTTATTCCGGATCGAAACTCTACTAGTTAAAAGGTAAACAAAAGAAAAGCTTTATGAATAGTTTACTGAACATTAGGACAGAAATATGGAAAAGAAAACAGAGTAAGAACAGAATAGATTTTATAACTGGGCGACATATTTGCTTTTACAAAGCCATGTGACGAAGGACACCTTATTATGAGTACAGAAAGACGTTAGGAAATCCATTAACGATGAACTAAGATGGAATCCATAATTTATCATCGAATTTCACAATATTCCACTAATGAAAACACTTACGTCAGTGAAAAGTTCAATCTATTTAAACGATGGCGTCATTCGTTGACTTTTAACGCCAGCACGAAACGACGTCACTCAGTCAGAAGCGAGAAGAAAAACTCTGGATGGGCGTGAAAACGTAGTCAGCTCAATCCGTGTGGTCATCACAGACATTCGGAGTACAAAAATTAACAACACCCGATATACAGCACATTTTAACATGTTGTAACAATGGAGCAAAATTTTGTTGCCGTGTACAGAATTCACAACATTGCGACGGGAACGCGAAAGTACCGTGTCCGTACACAGAAGCCAAATTAACGAGAAATCGGAATAAAATCGTCGAAAGCCTGAATCCGTTTCTTCTTGGTTAACGCTGCGTTTCCTGATCGCCAACGATGCATGAAGAGAGCTTACTCGATGCGGGAAGGAGGCGAACAGTGTTTTGTAAATGAAGTACCGACTCGTATGAAGTGCTGAGATATTTGCAAAACTCCGGACCACAGGTGTAGGCAGTGGGGAACGAACACGCGCTGTTGTCCTTACCGGGGAGCAGCGCGACCGGGACCCGGATGGTGTAGTGGTGAAGTGCGCTGCTCCCCGGTAAGGACAACAGCGCGTGTTCGTTCCCCACTGCCTACACCTGTGGTCCGGAGTTTTGCAAATATCTCAGCACTTCATACGAGTTATATTTCACAACATACCCTGCCATTAAGAAGAAAAAGGCAGTAAATAAAAGAGTTAAGAAGTACCGACTGTTATTTTTTATATTCTTGTTGACCAAATGCGACGTGTCATTTTATTCTTTATTGAGGAACAAGCTGACGCTTCGGCAGATTTCGCCTTTCTCAGAGAGCCTGGAAAGGTCAAGTTGACCGCAATCTACCCAGCCAAACATTTCCATAACCAAGCACAGAAAATGCTAAACCAAGATTTCAATCACATTGAACTTGACCTTTCCAGGATCTGAGAAAGGTGAAATTCACAGAAACGTCAGCTGTTCTTGAACAAAGAATAAAATGGCACCTCGCGTTTGCTCAACAAGAATATACAGAATTATTTGATCAATGTTGAGGTCAATAGAAAGTCGGTCGTAGGAATTACTACTGACTATTATACCCAAATAAATCAGGCGAAACTCTTTCGTATTCAGTCATTTTTCGTTGTAATGATGACGACGGGATCTACGGATTATCTTTGCATGAACGCCATCGTTAATGGCAAAGGGCAAGGCTCTACAATTGATGATCGATGTAACACGGTAGCTAATGACATCGATAAGTTTAGAATGTGATAGTGGTCCGTCCTTAGTTATGGTATCAACGAATTCAGAATATGATAGTGATCGTCGTGCCTCGATATGATATCGATAAACTCAAAATATGACGGCGATCGTCGTGACTCGGCTATGATATCGATGAACTCAGAATGTGATGACTCAACTGACAAATGGCTTAGATTTACGTCAGTGATTAGTAGTTATCAATCAAACTGATTACAGATAGATAGACGGGGTCGCGGCTTTCGCCTAATGTCAATAGGTAGTTTGGTATATATGAAAAAGAACGTGATAACGATCTCCATCTTAGATTCTCTCTGAAGGAAAACATCTCTCAGTTTAAGAACAGTCACTTGTGATTCTCATGGAAATAAGAAAGTGCTAGACGAAAAGAAAACAAACTTCATTAGCGAATTTGTTGAAAATTTTCCTATTTTTGAAACCTCTATACTTTAACATTACTGATTCTCAGCTAGACATCGCTATGCTATGTTTCGGGTAATCGCGGAATCACATACGTTCCAGACGTTAACCTCTTCGGCTTCTCAAATCTAGTTCATCCCACGTTTTATCGATGTTTTATTCTGGTTTACAAGGGTTATGTTGTAAAATTCTCGTGTAATCACTGATTCTGCTACTTTCATTCTAGCAAAGTTCAGAAGACCTACGACAGCATCGTTATCGTCGAAATGAAAAGCTCTTTGAACTTTTAGCATGAGCCCTGGCTAGCACGATAATAAATGTGCGAGTTCTAAGCCTAATGAAATGCCCAAAAATGCAGATGATTCATAAACTATTGTAAGAATGATTGTAGAACAAATGATGAAGATCAGGAGAATTTGTACTTAGCCATGAGACAAGCACAACGGAAATTTGAAAAAAGTCAAGCTAAGGACATTGAAAAATGAGCTTTAGAGGAAGTTCTGCTTAACTACAAGCGAATTGATTCATGAGAACATAGTTCGAGGAAACAATCACTATTACCTTTTCCACATTAAACCAAATAAAACTTAGAGGGAAACTCTCCCGAGACGAATTACCCAAAATGATTTTAATGAATTAATGACTAATGAATGAACAACGACAACGACAACGAAGATCTGCACCAACCTCGCGTCAGCTTAAGAAGATCAGTTTATAAGATCACATAAATAAATATATCAAAATGATTTTATTTAGGCGCTAAAAATAGAATTTCAAATTGAGGTGGTGAACCATAAAACCTTATCCTGATTTTTGACGAGAAGCATAGTTGCTTGACGCTAGGAAACTGCGGCAACTATCACAGTACCACAAAAAGTAATCGTAGCCTCATGTTCTTCGTTATTGTAAATTTTCGTTCTGCCAATTCATATTTACATTCATGTAGACGAACTTCGTTTATTACTCATTTATAAGAACGTGTAGTGCAATGGTTAACGGTGCCTTGCAATATACATTGATCCCACTTCCCAACCTAACCCCAATCCCTCTGGGTTCGACGAGTTGGTACCACCTCTTCAACTTACTGTGTAGGTCAAGGGTGCACTCAATCAGCTCTACAGTGCCTACAAACGATTCGAATGCACGGTGTATTCCTCACGGACTGATCAGGATAATGACGAAAGCGCTGTCCCACGTCCTTTTTTATTCATTTATAGTTATTTAGTATAAATTAGACCGCTCAAAAAAAAATACACACAGAGAGGGAAAGAGTGACAGAGAAAAGGCGGGACACCAATACTTTACTGATGTGAAGGACAGAATTTCTGAACAGTAGAGTGATTACTAGAAAAAAAAGTGCGAACGGATTTGCAAAAGATTGAGAGAGCGAGAGAAGCAAGCGAACGGCGATCGAAGAGTACTGAGAAATAGAACAATGTAACAGCACAGTGCAAAGTGAAGAAAAAATTTTAAACTTCTATGTTTTGTGAAGAGAATATCAATGAACGGTTTGGAATGAAAGATATAATCATTCATCAAGAGCGACTCGTGAAAATCTCGTGGTCCGACTCAAAACATAGTGGCCGACTGACGTATCAGAAGAGACCCTGCAGTTCAGGTATCAGTTCGATTTTATCA